TTTATTTAATGTATTTGGTACAAGGCCTCACTGCACAGCTTGGCCTCGCAGCGATCCTCCTGTTTTCAGCCTCCCCAGCGCTGGGGTTTCAGGCATGCGCCACCACTCAGGGTCTTGGTAGGCTGTTGGCACCTGCCCAGGGCGGAGCCAGCACGGCATCCAGGTCCTTGCACTCAGCTAGGCAGTCACTTAGACTCTCCATGGCCCATGTTTCTGTTGTGATAATTAAATCTTTGATCCATTTTGACTGTAGCTTTGGGCATGGTGATAGGCAGGGGTCTAGTTTTAGCCTTTGGCACGTGGAAAGCAAGTTTTACAACAGCTTTTATTCAAGAGGCTATCTTTTTCAAATAAGTATGTTTAGCCCCTTTGTCAAAGATAAGGTGGCTGAGTGTGTTTGCAGTTGTATCTGCATCTTCTGATCTGCATATTCTATTATTCCTCACGTCTGTCAGTGCCATGCTGATTTGATCACAGTAGCTTTATAATATAATTTCAGGGATTGTGATGGCTCCTGCCTTTTCTTTGTTGCCCAGGATTGCTTTTGCTATTCTAGTTCTCTTCTGGTTCCAGATGAATTTTAGGAATATTTTCTGTAAACCTGTGAGGTATATTAGTGGTAGTGTAACTACAATTGCATTGAATCTATGTTACAACTTTGGGAGTCTAGCCGTTTTCACAGTGTTCATTCTTCCTATCCAGGAACAAGGAATATTATTCCATTTTCTGAAATCTTCTGTGATCTCTTTTTTCAGAGTACTATAATTTTCATTGAATAAGTCTTTTACTTCCTTTGTGAGATTGATTCCTAAATATTTTATTTTGGGTGTTATTGTGAAAAGCATGGTTTCCATAATTTCTTTCTTAGTGCATTCCTTGTGTGTGTATAAAAAATGGTATAGAATTTTGAGTGTTCACTTTGTATTCTGCTGAGCTCCTGAATTTGTGTATTATATCTGTAAGTCAGTGTTTTGGGGGTCTTCCATATAGAGTATCATGTCATCTGCGAATAATGATAATTTCACTTCTTCCTTTCCAATCATTATTCCTTTTCTCTCTTGTCAAATTTTTCTGCCTAATGACAGTGAATGACCTTGTCTTGTTTCTGATTTTATTATTTATTTATTTATTTTTGTATTTAGTAAAGGGTCTCACTACGCTGATCAGATTCATAGTGATTCTCCTGTTTTTAGCCTCCAAGTGCTGGGATTACATGTCCGGTCTCATTGCACCCCAGGAGCGGGGCCAGCACAGCAAGCTGGGAATAGGATCCCGGTCCCGACGCCTTCCTAAGCAGGCGCTTTAGTCTGGCGCTATCTGGCCAGCCCTTGTTCCTGATTTTAAAGTGAAGGCTTTCTGTTTTTGTCCATATAGAATGATGTTGGCTGTTGGTTTGTCATAGATGGCTTTTATCAGGTTGAGGTATAGACCATCTATTTTCTGCAGGGTTTTTATCATGAATGAGTGTTGGACTTTGTCAAAAGCTTTTCTGTAGCCATTGAGATGATCGTGTGATTTTTGTCATTGGCTCTGTTGATGTGGTGTATTACATTTATGGATTTGAATATATTGAACCATCTCTGTATTCCTGGAATGGATCCCACAGGGTTGTGATGTATAATCTTGATGATATGCTGAATTCTGTTTGCGAGTATTTTATTGTCGATTTTTCCATCTATGTTCAACATTACGGAGATTGGCCTGTGGTTCTCTTTTTTCGTTGGGTCCTTCTCTGGTTTGGCTATCAGAGTAATACTTGTCTCCCTCAATGGGAGAATTGCTTCCCTTTCAGTGTTATTGAAGAGTTTGAAAAGAGTGGGCATTAGGTGTTCTTGTGGAATTCAGCTGTGACTCCGTCAGGACTGGGCTTCTCTTTGGTGGTAGATTTTTTTTAATACATTTTTTGTTTTCACTCACTGTTATTGGGTTATTAAGAGTTTTTATATCTTCTTGATTCAGCTTTGGTAATTTGTATATATCTAGGAATCTATCCATTTCTTCTGTGTTTTCCATCCTGTGAGAGTAAAGATTTTTGGAAATAGCTATAATGATCTTCCGAATTTCTATAGGGTCTGTAATGATTTTTGCCCTTTTCATTCCTTATTGCATGAATCTAAATTTTTTCTTTTTTCTTTTTTTTTTGAGAAGTTTTTTTGATAAGCACTAGGTGCTTGTTAATTTTATTCTTTCAAAAAACCAACTCTTCGATTCATTAATTCTTTCTCTTATTTTCTTTATCTCCATTGCATTAATTTCTGCTCTGATCTTTACAATTTCCTGCCTTCTTTGGGCTAGTCTTGGTCTTCTTTTTCTAAGAGCTTGATGTGTATAAGATTGTTTATTTGGGCTTCTTCTCTTTTCCTGATGTGAGAATTTACTGCTCTAAATTTCCCTCTTAAAACAGCTTTAATTGCATCTCACAGGTCCCTTAAGTTATATTTGCATTTTCATTTGATTGTAAATATTATTTAATTTCTTTTTTAATTTCATCTGTGATCCACTGATTGTCCAAGAGCATGTTATAATTTTGAGGCAGGTGTCAATATTAATGTGGCCACATTAAAAAAAAAGCAGGTCAATACAAAATATAATCCTTTGGTCAACCTGTTGAACTGTTTCTTAAAATTTAGAAACAGAAAACAGACTTTTCCCGTTACTTCGTTTCACTGGGACCGTTTTCTGACTGTGCTCCGTCTGTGCACTCCCCTGAGGAGTTGGCTCCTCAGCATGGTGAGCGAGAGTGACATGCCCGAGAGTATAATTTTAAGTAAAATAAATCTAACAAGCTTCAGTTTCACATGGTTTCTCTTACATGAGAAACTCAAAGTATAAAAAAGGAGTGAAGTGAAAGACAGGTATAGCAAACAGGGTTGTAAATGGAAAGAAGACCAAGAGATGGAGGGAAGTGAAAGGCAGGGGCGGGTCGTGAAAAGCTTGAAGCGCGTGGTGCCCGCGCACACAGCCCCCCAGTACACGTTTACGCTCTGAACGTACACGGATGGGGAGAAACAAAACAGCAGGTATGTGAGAGCCTACCTGAGTAGCTCGGAAAGTTAGCTGCAGTTAGCTGGTCGTACCACGTCTGCAGAGCACGTGCTCCGTGCTGTTTTCCTTGCCTCCTCTGCTGTCTGCTACCTTATATCTTTGGGTGTATAGGCTCACTTGGTTCACATTGATACCAAGTGGCTCAGTTTCCCTCGGATTTATCTGGAACTGTACTAAGCCCCCGTAGATCAGCAGTCATTTATATGCTGTCCTGCTTCTCTGCTTTCTTAACCTCGGGCAGCACTTGGTCTTTTTCACAGCGTCTTTCTTGTTACACGGATTTCCTTGTATATGAAGAAGTAAGTAGACACGCAGAAGTAGCTCTTGAGTACATCTCGGAACGTGTAAGGAGAGTCTTCCAAGCATCAGTTGGTTTTGCCGGTTCAGTACCGTGTGAACCACCACACCACAGTGCCGGCTGCTTTGTACTGTCGGCATCTGTCGATGTGGTACGGGCTGTCGCAGTGTACGTGTAACCAGGGATGCGGCTCTCCATACGCCGCGCGGTGCTCGGGCCGTTCCACACAGTGAGGCCTTTCTGTGACACTTGTGATCCTGTTTAGGGAGAGAGTGTAAATTTTCAAAAGAGAATCTGGAGGCTGTCACCTTTATAAAGGCAAGTAGATGCTAAGAGGATAGAAATTAAAAATGGAAAGCAGTTTTAAATGTTACTATTGTTTATAAAGGGAAAATTAAAATAATTTTAAGTTCTTCCCTTTTATTCCACTTAAAATTTCTGTACATATAAATGTCTATTATTTTGTGGAAGTACACATTCCAATATGGTAAAGCTGCAGATTGCAGCGTTTCACTGTATTTTCTGGACTGTTTTACTAGAACAGCTGTAGAACTTTTTCTTGCACCTGTCTGTGGTGGCAGAAGTAGGCTCCCGGGAACCCCTCAAGGCACTGCAGAAGTCTCGCTTCTCCCAGGGAGATGCACTAACTGTTGAGTTGCTTTATGTTCTTTACTACCAGGACTGGTTTAATGATATGCTCACATGGAAAAGTCAATTTAAGAAACAAAAATTGTAATATTCTAATGACATAGAAAGCAGGAAGATTTTCACAGAAGCATGAACAGAAATCTGAACGTGCTTTTCTTCAGCTTTAGGGGATCGTAAGAAAGGTTAGAAGCTGCCCAGAAAGCCATCTTCACAAGAAGGTGCCTCAGGCCTGGCTCCAGCGAGTTGTCGTGCCGTAACTTAAACTGATTTTGGCAGCTTACTCTTGGCTCATCTGTTCAACATTGTCAGATATGTACATGCAGTATACAGCTTTCTCTTGCTTTATGTCCACCTTTCTGCTTTACAAACTATGTTTCTCCTTTCCCGAGCTTGGCTAATTGTGTTTTAAACATTTAGATCAAGCGTCACAGACCTGGGCATCTCCACCTGGTATTAAAACCCTTCCTGGGCTGGGAAGATAGTTTGGTGTTCTAAGCACCTGCCTGGCAAGTGCAAGGACCCAGGTTTGATCCCTGGTGCCACATGCTGTGCCAGCCCCAAACCACACATGGCGGTGCAGATGCACACCTGCAACCCTAGCGCTGGGGAGGCTGAGTCAGGAGGATCATTATGAATCCAAGCTGTGGAGTGAGACCCTGCACCAAATAACATAAATAAATAAAAGATTTTTAAAATTCCTTCCCCACTATCCCTTTGATAGTGGCTTCTGTGTTACATTTGTCATATTGTTTTATAATCTCAAAATTAGAAATCCCTAGTAAAGATGGTAAACCTTTCCCTTCACTGTCTGCAGGGCGCAACCCAGTACTAGAAGCTTAGTGGGTAGTCTTCGTTGACTATGTAGGAGAAGACAACAGAACCATGACATAAGTATGTGAAGTAAAAGTAATCAGTAATTTGCCAGGTTCTGTTACAGTCTGAAATGCTACTTGTGCATTACTACTTGATTTGCTTCTTATGTGAGGTTCGTGTTTATGTCTTGGTTTAGGTGTTTACTGTTGGCAGAATCTGTGCTAACCGAACCAAAATTTACCATAAGCTGAAACATTTTAAATTCGAACTGTACAAGAAGTGTTGCTCCATTGTAAGGACAGAGGCAGCTGAGGGTGAAGAAGTTAAAGAAACAGTGGAACGCATTTTCAACCGGTCGGAGTCAAGTGGCTGGATTACAGTGGTAAGGTGTCGTGTCAGAGCCGCCCCCTTCTGCAGAGCCTGGAGCCCAACTGTGGCCGGCAGAGAGAGGAGTGCAGTGATTAGAAGACGGGGATGTGTAAAAGAAAATCCCTTTCCTCCGTTTTCTGTGTTTTCTCTTCTTCCACCCATTCCTTTCATGCGTACCATTTTCTATCCTGAACAGATCCCTGGTGCTCCAAACCTCATTCTGCTCAGGAGCTGAGCTTCAGAGGGCAGTGATGCTGTCGCTGAACGTGGGAGGGCCTCATTTCCTCATGACTGTCCCTTCATTTCTACATGTGTACTCTACAGACCTAAGAAGTTCTCTTATTTTCTTAGATAAAATGTGGGACGTACTTCCACTTGCCTGCTTCCTATTCTTTAGAGCAGGTCTTGTGGCCCGAGTCTGCAGAAGCCCCTGGTGCCTCTCGGCTGCCAGTTCTGAGGCCGCCCACATCCTCCTCTTTCTTGTTTTATGCATTTAGTACAGGGTCTACAGGGTCTCCCTACACAGATGAGACTCATAGTGACCCTCCTCTGTTCAGCTTCCCAAGCTCTGGTATTACAGGTATGCCACCATGCCCAGTCTCAGTCGCCATCTCAGCACGCCCTGGGGATGGGGCCAGCACAGCAGGTTGGGGATCGAACCCCAGCCGTTGCATCTGCCTAAGCAGGCGCTTTAATCTGCTGAGCTATCTGGCCAGCCTCACATCCTCCTCTTGAGGCCACAGAGCGTAGTAACAGGGCTGAGAGGAGTTCGACTCCCCCATATCCCGTTGGTCACTGAATTTGGTATCTGGAATAAAGTGGGGCTTTTGTGGAGAGTGCTGGATTCCTAGACATGTGCTGTGCTCGTGAGCTCTGTTCTGCTTGCAGAGCTTTTAGTTTTGCTTTGGTATCTGGAAGAGCAGTAGTAGGATGCAGGCTTTTAAAACAGGTCCAATTACATGCATGTGAAAGAGACAGATTTGCTGCCCAGTGCTGTGGGAGGCTAGCACAAGCTTGAATCCAGCTGGGGCAAATCGGTAACTTAGAGAGACTCTGTCTCAAAATTTAATATAAAAAGGACTTAGGATAGCGCTCTGGGGGCTTGCGGGTTGGCTCAGTTGTTTAAACTCCTGCTCTGGCAAACCTAGTCTGGCGCAGGGGACCCCAGTTCGATCCCCGGCTCCACATGCCTTACCAGACCCACCCTTCAGGCAGCCTGAGCCAGCCAAAAACAAAAAACAAAACCAAAGAAACAATCCTTCTGGGCCAACCAAATAGCTCATCGGATTAAAGTGCCTGCTTAGGCAGATGCAGAGATTTGGAGGTTTGATCCCCGGCCTGCTGTGCTGGCCCCAGCAAGTAAGCCTGGGTGTGATGGCCTGCACCTGTAATCCCAGCTCTTGGGAAGCTGAGAGGAGAATCACTACAAGTCCAATCTGTGTAGTGAAACACACCCTGCACTAAATACAAAAAAATACAAAAACAAAACAAAACAAAACAAAAAACCTCTGTTTAGTCCCCACTACTACAAAAAGAAAAAGGCCTGATTTGAGATTCATTACATGAGTGACATCATTGGAAAACTGATACAAAAGGGAAATTCGTGAAAAAGCTTAATTTAGCAAAGAAACTCATGACCAGAGGGAAAAATATAGAGCATAATAAGAATTTCTCAACATATGTTCAGTGACAATCTCCTAGTCTGAAGAGTGACATCATGCGTGGGTTCCTGTTTGACAATATTCTCCCACCTCAGACTACCCCCTGTGACCTTGCCTGTGACATCGCCTGTCCCTGACACCTTGGTACTTCGGTCTCCTTCCTCTCGTGCTACTAAAGCTTTTGGCCTCTTGCTTTGCTTCTGCGCCCACTCCACATGCTTTCCCCAGCCCCATCCACCTGGGCTTTTCCATTTGGCTTCGGGAAGAGCCATCACTTAGCCAGTAACCTCAGGATTCATGTTCCCGACATTAAATGCTCAAGTGCTTTTACTGATGACTTGAAATGATCTTCACCCTCTAGTTGTGTTGAAAAACCTACTGGTGTACCCCATTTGTAAAGGGTTATGTGCGAAGCCTGGAAACAGTACTGTGCATGTGTTCTCTGTTCCCTAATGATAGAGAGGAAACGTTAAACTTCTTGCAAAAAAGTCATTTCCAAATTATGTGGCTGACAGTTTAAAAGATTTAAGACAGCAGAAAGTATCTGGAGTAAAGCATATTTGTAGGAAAAGAAAGTTGAATGTGATATTATGCATAAAGAATAGCATTTAGCATGAAAGGCACTTAGCATTAAAGGCTCGCCCAATCTTACTCTCTGGGGATGGCACATTAGGACCACAGGTGTTTAGGAAATAATACCTTGTCA